TGTTTTGTCGAAATGATAAGTGTAATTCAAAAGAATTACCTTCGTGAACCAAGTGGTCCAAATCAACCTCCTTACACACGTCGAGCAACTCAGGGGTTAACGGTGGCCTCAGGGCTGGAGGCAGTTTCTCAAAATTATTGTAGAAGTTTACATCTCTTCATAATAACCAATAATTGTTCGTCATAAACAGAAGAAGAAAAGAATTGGACCATTTATTGTGATAATATTGAATTGGAAAGAGTAATGGGTGCTACTTATGTGAAATTTCTGTAAATATATCTGGCAGTGAAGCATAATATCGTGTATTTTCGTGGACAGTCAAATATTGAGAACCCAGGAGACTAAAAAAATTTGAAAACAGCTACGTAATTTGACATGATATAACAATATGAATTTTAACAAAACTTGATGTGGATGTCTAGCGATTGTTGATTTTGAAAGTCGAGTAAAATAATGGGATCACACCAAGTGTGCATTAATTTATCTCAAAAGATCTATGTTAAACATGGTTCAATCGTTCATGATATCTCCAAATGATAATTCTACTTGTAAATAATAGTTTGTACATAAATGTGACAGACATCACTAACAATGAAAAAAAGAATGTTGAAAATTAAAAAAATAAAAATAAAAAAAAAATGATACAAAAACTCATACTTGGCATAATTTGGCTCTAAAGCAAGGTTGGATACTTGGCATCCAGAAAATCTCTCAAGGTTTTTGCTGCCTTCTGACTCCCCATCAGCTCTCCTAGTTTCTCTATTGGAAGCATTACAAGTTCCGCCAAGCTTTTACAACCTTCCATTATCAACCTGTAATTGGAATCTGTAACCCCGGGCAGTCGTCTGAGGAACTCAACAGCTGATGTATTGAAATTTTCGGCTCTGTCAACATAATCAATTTTGATGAATATCAACAAAATTATAACCCATAAATTTTCAAAAAGCAGATTGTGTGAAACCAATGTATTTTGATTTTGAAGAATAATACATTTAGGGTGCTGTTTCTACTAGATCGCGGTTTGCATTTCCATGCAACATCAAGCTACACCATTTTCAATTACATGGACAACAATTAAGACGTAAAAATTGGGGTGCTAGCACAGTACAGTAGATATTCTAAGTTTAATGTTTTTTTAGCTTAATCCATCAAGATATTTACTGAATTTCGAAGTTGAGAACGAGAAAACAGTTGTATTGTTACCTAACATCATTCTCGATAATGCCATCTTCTGATGGGACACCAATTCTAATTGCCTTGGCCTCGTGCGGTTCATCTTGGTTTGCTTTGAGCATCGTGAAAATTTTGGCAGTGGCATGCAAACTGCGGGACCAGACAATACGCAGGCGAGGGAAATGGAGAACAAGAAGTGACAGCTTGGATATAATACTATTTGGAGTGACATCATCGCCAATCTCACTTGCAGACTACACGAACACACCAATGATTTTGTTAAGAAATTATCCTGAGTAAAAAGGGAGAGAAATAAAATGCAAGTATGAGTTACCAGAAATGAGAAGCTCTTGTCTTGTGAAAACTCGATCAGGAGAACAGGTATTCGATAATAACGTGACATCATCTCCACCTGGTGATATAAACGACCAGATGAAAAACTGCCAAAGAGATCTTGTATACTCTTACGCTCGACACATATTAATGGGGATAGAATGTAATCTCCCACTTCCAAAGTCACAGGTATAATGCGTAAGCCTTTCTGGTGGAGGACATTTGGAAGGCTGCTCATGAATTCCCTCATGTCTACTATGATCTGGACGAAATTAAAGAATGTTACAATTTGTATATGTATATTAAATGAAATTAGGAGAACTTCGATATTTTACTTTACCTGCATTTCCTTATCTGCTCCCTTCTTTCCACCAGCTTTTCTGGTAATCATATTTTGGGCAACAGTAGATTGTGGCTCTACAGAAGAACTTATGCCTAGAAGCTGCTCATCCTGATTGTTTTCCAACAGCCACCAAACAAATTGAAAAGCAAATCAGTAGTCTTTAAGGAAAATATAATGCTGACAAGAATATGCATGAAGTATAATAAACTGAGCGACAACAAAAACAGAACAAGAAACTATAACAGAATCAACGTAAGCATCAACCTAGGAAAGATGAAACAGTATAAGCGATATTTAAGGACTTTGAATGTGCTAAAACCCAATGGATTGGTTTTCTCATTCTATATGTTGCATAACTCATAATTCGGAATTTCTAGATGAAAGATGGAAAAATGGATCAAGTTTGACCATCAGAGCAAGAAAACTCTCCAAGTCTCTCAAAGATTTTATTGGGTATAGTTTACGTCTATTTTTATTTAGAGGGATCAAATTAACTGAACTTAACATTTGAAATATATATTTCTCAACAATAAACAGAGCTATGCATATCATAAGCCGCTACCATGGCTATCCTCTGAAAAAAATCAAAGGTATGAACATTTGACCTGATAGCATATGAACACGATTTAATAAAGTCTTCAACAACAAAAACAGGATGTTTACAACTGGAAGAAACTCGTGGTGAAGCAAAAATGAATGCAACAGCCAACCTGAGTAACTGGTATCATCATCATAGACTTCTGCCTGATCAGAGACTCAAATGCTCCATTTTCTCTACGTATACTAGCCTCAAATTTTTGAACCTCAGTGGAATCTTCATAAAATAGAAAGTATACTTTCAACGGCTTCAAGGGATTCTCTGATTTGTAAACTTCAATTTCTCTCACAAAAGCAATGTCAGGATGGTACACAATAATTACAGAAGGCTCTAAAATATCAAGAATACTCTGATCACTCTCAAGTGCATGGAAAATCACTGGTGGGAGCTGGCTTGCATTATCTGGTCCTTGAACATGCTTTCGAAGAATTCTATCAAGATACTCACTCTCAATTTTGTCGCCAAGAATAGGACCAGCCATTGATTGATTATCAATTTTTTCCTCTTGTTTTAAGGGAGAGGTCTGAGATCGAAATCTAGTTTCGGATTCAGGGTCAGTCTCAACAATCTTTAGCTTGTTCTTATTTCTTCCATTTCTCCTTCCTTTATTATGTTCCTCACTGGCTCCACCATCTTTCATATCAATGTCCCTTTTTGCTTGTTTACTTATTTCATATGCTGCAGCCAACAACGCATCATTCTCGGGCTTGTTTATGCTGCTGATATCAGCTTTTTGTCCAGAAATGGAGGGGATAACCCCATCAAGAACCCCGAAACCTTTAGGTGCCTTTGGCTTCTTCTGCTTATGTTTTGGTAAAGCTTTCAGCTCCACTTTACTTAGCAGATATTTTTCCCATTCCTCTCGCAATACCTTGTAAAGTAATATCACGTACATTATGACAAGTTTCTTGATAACACATAGAATTTAATTATATATTGACATTTCAAAGAATCAACAAAAATCATTATCTGCTCCTAGATCAACAAAATCATTATGACCCAGAAGAAGAGAGCTAGGGGAGGGCAAAAAAGACGAGAAAACATTTTGCATAAATGTTGAGCAGAAACCTCATGCTGGCCTTTTGTAATGCAATCTTCAAGTTGCATGCAAGAATGTTCATCCTTGCAAGCCACAAGAATAATTCCATTAGGACCTCCTTCATGTCCAACTATTTCATCTTCCCCGGCCATTGTTTGTTTCTGTCTCCACTCTTGTATCTCCACAAGAATATCCTGGAGTAAACAATAAATCAGCAAAAACATGTCAATAAACTTAATAGAGCATATCTGAACATATCTGAACATTTAAGCAATCAGGCTTGGATTATTATTTCATCATCGAACCACTGAAATGCTTGTGATAAATTTCTAAACATTGCTTCAAACCAAACATAGAAATGTTACGATAAAACAACAACAACAACAACAACAACAACAACAACAAGAAGCCGTTAAAATCCCACTAAGTGGGGTCGGCTAAACATAGAAATGTCGAGATGCCAAAGATAAATCGAACTCACTCACTCACTCACTCGCAAGACCTTCCACTTTGGTGGTTCCTCCAAAATTTCCTCCAAAACAGCCCCACCATCTGCAGTTGCTGTAGAATCTGCATATTCAGGTGATAAGTGCAAGTCGAGAACTATTGTAGCTGCAGCAGCTGAAATGCTGACTGCATGCTCATTAAATGCTAGACACCATCAAACTAGAAGATACAAATAAAAACCGCATCTTGGTTTAAAGCTAAATCCTACAGATAAAATCATAAAACAAACACCCAAGTTGTTAGGGTTTTTAAAGAAACAAAGACACCCTCAAGCCATAGTCTAACAAATATATAAAAGAAATAAAACATAAAAATAAAAAAGCACTTATCTTTATATTCCCTTGATGCTTATTTCTAGACTACAAGTTTCACCCTCAACAAGAACTACTCATTAGAAAATGCAAACTTCAATAAGGTGTGTCAAATCTCGAGGGACTTTTAATGATAATTGGATTTTATGTAATTATGTCAATTCAATAGAAAAGAAGTGCTACAGAAGATTGAATTCACCATCTGTATCCTTGATCTTTCCATCTTGTTTTCTCTTCCTGACGACAACACTTTTACTCGTCCCAACAGATTTTCCACTATTTGGCCGACCAAAATGATAAACTCGCTTCTTAGCATACTCAAAAATCTTGTAGCTAGACTCTGCAAAGATCCAAACAGATCGAAAGCTCTCTGAAGCTCTAAGCGAGTCAAGATACTTCAGATAAGTCACAGCATCATATCTGTTTACAAGAAAAGAAATTTAAAACTCACCATTACTTGTATAGCCATCGCGGAATGATGTAATAGAAACAGAGACGTTAATTATTACTTTAAAGTATCCATTTATTCTAAATCCTTGCCGTAAAACTAGCACGGGACAATCTTGGTTTCTTTTGAGGATGTCTGCTTCTTTATCAGTGCCTCACTATGGAGTACAGCAGGTCTATGATTTCTAGCAATTATTAGGGGCATGCCAAATTGTCCATAAACATGAGTCAGATAAAGCCCCTCAGGAACCATAACTTTCAAAGCACAAATTTCAAATAGTTAGGCATGATAGAATATTTTGGAACTTAAAATAAATGGGTCAGAAGGCCGTGAATTGTCAGATACTTTTNAGATTAGTACCATAAGCAATGTATATAATTCTTCTTTATATATATAACTATATTAGTAACTCGTGATCTTCTATTAATTTTTCACCTAGGATCAAAGTGTTACACACTCCCAAAATAAGAAAAATGACTGGCCATTGCCCATTTTCATTCTACCAGATTCATACCAAAAGAATTTATCAGTAGTAAACATACCACCTTTTTGACAAATCACTTGTTCAAAGGGATTCTTCATTTCCCAATAAAAATATAATAAGCATCCATATACAAATGCAGTACATGAGATTCCCAATCTACATCTACATGAAAGCAACCATCTCAAATGAACTGCTCTCCCCTGGAATGGCTGTACACTACATTCTAATGGAAAAAGGAAAGTGCTCTATTCATTCAGTTTTAACAGCATATTCGCGAGGGAAAATCTCTAAAGCACATGAAGCCATAGCTTCTATCTACATGACTCTAGTAAAAGAAAAGTGCTGTATCCACAATCAGCTTTAAGTATTGGACAAATTAACAGTATATTACACTGATAATAGCTAGAATACACATGATACCATCTCTTATCTATATGATTCCACTATATATCAATAGAAGAGTTTATCTTCTCTTAGTCTTACTACCGTCAATCAAAATCGCCAGAAAAGAGGACAAATCGGGAAATACCTGGCAAGATAATCTAGCAGCTTTCGCAATGACTTCAAATCTGAAACAAGCTGCTTCGTCCTCTTCCCTAATGTATGCCATATAGGATCCAATTGTCTCCTTACAATCTCGTCAAACGACTTAAACAGTCCATTCTCCACTGTCAAATCCTCCACATCAACCTTGTTAGTCTTCCTCATCTCTTTTAAACACGCATCCATTACTTCAATCACAGCTTTCTGAATACAAACCATGTATGGTGACATTGGGACCCGAATGTCAATCACCTCTGGAGGATCCTTTTCCAAATGCTGAGAAACATACACCTAAATACATCCATAAAGAACAATTAGATAGCATAAGGGCATCATGAACCAAACTACACCTCATTTGCCAAAAGAATACCTGAAATCTAGGCCAGAGGTGGAGTCTACGGATAAAAAGGCACTTGAGGATCCGCTCTGCTTTCGCAAATCCGGAAACCATGGCGTGGGGCCGGTCAGAGAAGGCTCGGACATAGACGGAATGATTGGACGACCGAATAATCCGGACGATGAAAGCCTCAGTCGAAGTATCCGAAAGCGAATGGGCGTTGAGGAGAATAATCCCGGCAACTGAGGTGGTGGGGAGGCGCTGAGTGAGCAAATCGACGATGAGAATGCGGGCGGTGATGAAGAATACCCCGCCGGAGGTGTAGAGCGAGAGGCGGTGGTGGGCGGGGAGGTCGGTGGTGATGGAGGCAAACCGAGAGGCGGCGTCGATGGAGCTCTTCTGGGAAGGGGAGGCGTTGAGGATGAGAACTGAGCCCTGGGAAGGGTCGTGGAGGCCGAGGAGGGAGGAGACGAGCTTGGGGAGGCCGAGGCCAGCGGAGAGGACCACCAGGCCGCCGGTGGGATCCTCCAGGAGATCGCTGATTATGTGCTCGTGGAATTGAACCATAGTTCGGCGCCGGCGGCTCGGGTTCGGTTAACTGTAGTTAATAGGGGAAAACATGTTTAAAGGAGGTAGCATAAAATGGAAGGGAAGTAAGCTAGTGTTTCGTTGGGGGTAAAAGGGATATGATCAAGGGTAAGGGTGGACATGTAAATGATGATGTTTTATTTGAGTACATAATATTCTTCTTCAAATTGAGTGGAACATGGTAATTGGTAAGGTTGGGAAGTTTGCAGGTAGAGAAAATTTTTAATAAGGTAAAATTACTTTTTTGCTCTCAATATTAGATTATTTAAATATTTTATTTCTTATATCATTAAGGTAATACGGTTAATTTTACATTATTTTTCTTTCACTTCATTTTTCAACCAAACAAAATTTATCATTTTCTCTCATATTTCCTTCTAAATAATCATTCAAAACAAGATAAAATGTTTTAATTCACATTCTCTCCTTTTTTAAGATTTTTGGATGTTCAATCGGTTGAAATTGACCCGACTCGACTAATAAATCGATGTTCAAAATCATTCTATTCAGGGTCTTTTATTCTATTAAAGCGTCGGATTTCTAAGGTTGTGCACGCTTTAGTTAAGCAATCTGCGAAAATTCAGTTAACTTCAAACCGATAATTCAATTTCAAGCAGTTCGGTAAATTCATATTTTGTCCACCCTTAGTTTGAACTTTAAGTGGTCTAAACGATTAATTTGTGTGGTGTCTTTTTTGTTAGTGATGATGAAAGAAGATTCTATGGGTAATGCAACACAATTTGATATAATCATTAAAAAAAATCAATTGTTTGATCAATACACACATTCTCATATTGGTGTGTGTAAATCCAACAGTGAAAAAGTTGGACGACTACACCACAATTATCGATAATAAGAGTGTGTATTTATTTAACCATGAAAAAATGGAACAACAACAGTCTAATCATGTGAAATCTTCCTAAAAATACAATGAACTAAGATATTACACGTTGTTTGAGAAAAAACTTGGTGTTTAATCCAAAATGATGAAAAATTGATTCTTTGGAGTTTTGTTGATGGATGATCTTGTTCCATTTGAGATAACATATGTAGTGATATGCGAATTGTCTTAGCCCGTTTTGAAAGTACGATCTCACGAACAACCACTAGCTCGGAGCTCCGATGACCTGCAAGAAGCCAGTGAGGGGTCCCGGAGGAAAATCTCCGATGCTCAAGTCAATAAATTGCTCGTGAGAAAACTGAAAGTATGTATGCTTATTGTGCTTGTAGGCGATGTGTAAAGTAAAAGAACTTGGTTGCCCTTATATACCTAGGGTATCTTGGCCTCCAAGAGAGTTCTGGTTAGGAAAGAGATCCACTATTATCTACTTCCCTAACCCATCACGTGTCTAGGATCTAAGACTCTTTAGCAAGATACACTTTCCACCCATGAAGGACTCTTTCCCCTCTTTTCATACGGCTCTTAGGTTTTCAGGTTGTAACCACGACCTCCTTACTTGCCTACCATAAGTTGTACCTAGGTCGCAACCACGACGTCCTTACCTACCTACCTACCTATCGACTAAGTTGTACCCAAGTCACAACTACGACCTCCACTTTCACGACGTACAGGTCACGTGGCCCCATCAAGAATCCGAGCTACTTCAGTTCTCCAAGATATCCAAACTGAATTTACCTGTACCCCGAGCTGCCTAAGCGACCTCCCTGATAGGTATATGTAGTAAAAACAGGTTGAGCTCCCTTGAATTGGCCATGACTGAGCTAACAACTCTAGCTGGCTCACCGAGCTATTTTAAGTGCTATATTAAGTAGAACTAAACTAACTCACACATGTGATTTGAGTAAAAATCTTACTGAAGTAGTATGATCATGGTCCATCATCAGGGGCGAAAGCCGCGAAACTACATGTATCACTATTGCCCCCCTTCAAATTTTAATTTTTTTTTACTATTATAATTAAAAATTTTAATTTATCACCCTCTTAAATTATTTTTTGCACCCCAAAAATTTTTTGCCATGTCTTTTGCCCCCTCTCAATTAATTTACTGGTTTCGCCCCTGTCCATCATATACAATTTTTAAGCTATGTGGCATACTATTTTAATAAAAATATTTTAAAACAATAATATTTCAATTTGAAAGTATTTGTTAGAAAAGTACGACGGAACATTTTTACTGTAATACATAAATCACACTTGTAATCATAAAATGGCCACAAAAAATAGCTTGTATGACCCCCAAACCCCAAACA